CGTCTACCTGCAAATGCATCGTCCAAATCTATAACTTATCCCTCGAGTTAAATAGTTTCGTTACTACAAAATGTTCACTATGATCAACTTCATACGTAGAAGAATTTTGTTGCTCTTCCTGAAATAACTACGAAACAAAAAGAAAGTTAAAGAATAGTAACAATAGTAGTAAAAAAAAACGCAAAAGTGGCCGGCGTCCAAACTGGAAGCGAAAAGTAGTGTTGGGCGCCCAAACCGTGCGCGGGAAGGTCAACCGGGCGCCCACTCTGGGCGCAGATCGGTCTTTTACGCGTCCAGATTGGGCATGAAAATTACTTTTCGGCGCCCATTTTGGTTATGAGCAACGTTTTCCCGATTTATAGAACAAAAACGAACAAATTTTACTTTATTGAATTGTGTATCTCAATCCTCATCCGATGCACTCATTTCCATTATCACTACAATAATATAGGTTTTGAGACGATTTCTAATATAAAAGTTAAGAGAATTATCGTAAACCCGCATTTGTAAAAATGTCACCGCTAATATCACCTCCTTTATTACAATCATGTTTATTATTTATACTCCATTTTTTCCATTTTTTTTTATCTCTATATCCCTCTCTCCAACACTTGGTTGGTTTTAACCGAGTGTCGAAATTCTTTCTTTCTTTTGTATAGGAGTGTTGAAATTCTAAACCAACTAATTTCCGTTATTTATATAGGAAATTAACTTATGGGCTACAATTATATTAATGTAATATTATTACTATTTATTACTAGCAAATTTTGAATGTCATATGTTCTTGTATATATCATGCACATTGGCTAGCTACTTGTAATATCCATTAATGTATTATACCATAACTCAGAAATTTTACGACTAGGTCGAAAATAATATTCATTCTCTTATATTATTATTGTTATAATTTCGTTTTTATAACTGTCGAGAATGGAAAGCTAAATTTCAAAATTGCGAGAAAATCACCCAATAACATTATTTTTTTTATTTAACTATAGAGTTATTACATTTCTTCCTTATGTTATATTTATGAATTGAAGATTAAAGATTTTGTAAGATTAAATTAGTAGTTGTATCATCAATCATGCATGTATAGTTTTTTGATAAGAAATGGTGAAGCAAGAGTGAAATAATAGTAAAAGGGCATTCAATCCAACACGCACAATATAATTATTTTATTATGATTCCTCAAAGAAGGGGTAATAATAAAACATATATTATTACCTACAATTATTTGGTCATCGAAAAAAACTTATTAAAGAAAAAAATAGTATGTAGGAAATAATTAGGAGCATGCAATAGAATAGGTATCGAGTGCAAAATCGACACGGTCGCCGGTATAGGCAAAAGAGATGGCTTCTCCAACGAGTACACCGCCTTTGTTAAGAAGACATTTACCGCTCTTGTCAATTTCGGAGATGAGTGATTGGTCTTTCTTACTAACCACTGCAGCTTCAAACTTAGGACACAGAAGTTGCACGTTATAAACAGTGCAGATGCAGGTGTTTTTCACGCTCACCTTCCACTCTGTCCTCGATGTATAAGTTTGGACAATCTCAATCTTTTTTGGAGGGCACGCATGATCGTCACTTAAACCTTATATTCAAAACAAAATCATTTATTAATATTTTTTTTAATTATTTTATTACATATATTATCAATAACAACATTATATATATATATATTTGATTAGTACATTATATATATTATCAATAACAACATTATATATTATCATACCTTTGGGAATAACAAGGGAAATAAGAACAATGAAGCAAAGGAAAGTATAAGTGATGCCTCTTCCCATCTTTTCCACCTCAAATTTTTTCACTATTAAAAAGATTGATGTTGTTGTTTTTTATTTGTTTTTATGTCACACTCTCTGATTTCAGACATTATTTATAGAGGTGATTTGTGGGTGGATATGATTACAAGAATTTATATTGGGGAAATCCTGTTGAATATTTTGGTCAAAGATTTACTATATCTATATGAAAAATATCGTAATTAAATTCAATGTTAAATGGTCAAAGTTACGGTGTTGATAAAACCATCATATCTACAAAATCATACATATTCATACTTGTACCAAACACATATTATGTATTTAGGTTTTCTCCATTGCGGTTTTTAAGCATGAGTCCCTGACCAACCATATTTATTAATGTACGGGGTTATATCTCTTTCGCCAATAAGCTAATACATTTAATATGTATCTTATATCTTATATATAAAAAAAGAAACGTTGGGCAATCCTAAAAAACCCTAATGGTATTTCTATAATTATTTATTTTTATTATTTATTCTCTACTAATTTCTATCTATATTTTTTTTTAACAATTATCAAAATTAAAACTAACTCGTGAAAAATCCTACCTATTAGTATTTATGTAATTATTTATTTTTTCTCTTCTAATTTTTTAACTATAATTTTTAGCAATTATTAATTTCCTATTTTTTATCAATATATCTCAAATCTTAAGAGAAAGCTAGAAATTCGATTTGTTAAATCTTAGTCTATTTATTTGGATTATAAGTCTTAATATGTAAGATTTAAAAAACTAATGTTATATAAAATATGAATAATACTACATTATTAAATTTTACTATATTAGTGTACTATATTTTCTTATTATGTATTAAATTGATTTTTTTTCACTATTTAAATAATATCCCGTGCATCGCACGGGGGAAATTGCTAGGTATAAATAAATAAAGAAAAAATGAATGTATATGACAAAATTACCTCAAACCCTTTAAACCCAATCCTAATTGTAACCATAATTTAACTTCAATGTAATCAATTTTGACCACAAAAAAATCAATTTGGACCTTTTCTTTTTAATTTTTTAATTTTTTTTTTCTGAACTTTTTCTTTTTGCGGCCGGTTTTCGGCGTTGACTTTTTTTTTTCTCTGTTTTCTTTTTCTGCCGCCAGTCTCCGGCGTTGACTTTTAAAAAAAAATTCACTGAAAAAATTATCCTTTTTTTTTTTACCCCGCCACTGGACGTTGACCGTAATTGCAATGTCACTAAAAGTAATTATACTGTCGTTGACATTAATTGTACTATCATTGACAGTACATTTACGTAATTATACTGTCAATGACAGCACATTTACGTAATTGTACTGTGAATGACAGTACAATTACTGTCAACCACAACAATATTATTATCTTTTTGGCCTTTTTGATTTTGTTTGATTTGTTGACAAGTCGACGTAATTATATTACTGTTTTTTACGTTAAAATTACTGTAAACACAATAGTACTACTGTCAACCACATCGATATTATTTTTTTGACTTTTTTTGTTTTGTTTGATTTGTTGACCAATTAACTTAATAATATTAATGTCTACTATTGTTATATTACTATAAACACAATAATATTTGTGGTTGACGATAATATTACTGTCGTTCGGTAATATTACTGTATGTGTTACAGTAATATTACTGTCAACCACATCAATATTAATTATTTTGGTTTTTTATTATGTTTGCCTTTGTTAGTCAATATATTAATATTACTCTATTACACAATAATAGTGATTTTTGTTGTGTTAATATTATTGTGCTAGAGAGTAATGTTGTACTAAACTGTAGTAGAGTTAATATTACAGTGTTAAACACTAATACTGTCAATATAACTGTGTTAAAAAGTAATATAGTTAATATGACTGTCAACCAGAGTCATATTACTTTTTGAACTGGTAAAAAGATGTTGAAGAAAAAAAAAATTAATTGAAAAGTCAACACCAGAAACCGGCGGAAAAAACAGGATTAAAAAAAAAAACAAGTCAACACCGGAGACCGGCGGTAAACAGCGCCGACAGACGAAATTGTAATTCAAATTTAGTTTTGGGTCAAAATTGAACAATTTATGAAGTTTGTGGTCAAATTATAGTTAAATTGAATTTAAGGATGAAATTGAAGCATATTAAAATTTGAAGCGGTATTTTAGTCTTATTTACACCTCCTCTAGATAATGTCAGAATTTTTTTGTAAAAGAAGTTTTTGTCTGAACTACTTTATAAATAAGTATCACACGATGGGCTTATTTGTAATCTGTCCCTTATATAAAATCTTGTAATAAATTTGATGAAGGACACGTTGATTCAACAATGAATAAGACTTTGATACCCGCTTCCAAACTCTCTCTCTCTCTTTATCTCTTTAAATTTATATTTTCCGCTAGTCGAATTCATCTTCTCTGGCGAAAGACCGGCGCTCGGGTGATTTTCCCGCGGTCAAGGAAGTTGGGCTTGGAAGGAGGTCTTGAGAGTTTAGATCCTACACCATCAAGTGGCGCCCTCTGTAGGAACTATTTGGAATTTATTCACATGAGATTCCACGCACCTCTCCCATTGTTGGATTTCCATTCGTCGGACTCGTACCGCCAATTACTGGGGTAACCTTAGACGGACCGCGGTTCGATCCTCCACACTTGCGATTCAAATGAAGTTGCTTGTCTTTCCTCTTTGCCAACTATACGGCCATCTACAACCCTCTTGATTTAAATAATCGTACTTCACTTGCAATATCCTCCTTCAATCCACCCATGAAGGCCCCCATTAGAGCATCTTCGTTCCAACTGGGCAAGCAATTCATGAGTTTTTTGAACTCACTTAGGTATTTGCGGAACCCCCCTCGTTGCCTTAGTTTACATATAGATTTGTTTAGATCCTCGTAATCTCCATATCCGAAGCGCAGAAGAACCCCTTTCTCAAATTGCCTCCCCGTGATCCGATCACCCATGTTCGCACGCTCGAACCACTGCCACCATTGATTCGTCTCTCCTTCGAGATTATACGCGGCTAAAGTAATTTTTTATGCCCGTGAAAATCGTTGGCAACAAAAAATTTGATTTGCTTTGCTTAACCAAACTCAAGGTTCGTCCCCCAAAAACGTGGAATTTGTATATTATTTGCTGGGGAAGTGCATTTTTATTATTATCGCCACAATATTAGTATAGAATAAAGCCACATAAGAGAATACACAAATGGATTAATAAACTAAATGAATATATAATAAATGAATAAATAATGTAAATATTACAGAATACAAATTTAATGTCTTGTGATCCAGACTGTTTATGGAAAGATCGAAAATCGACCACACCCGTAATTGTTCCTAAAATTTCAATTCAAAGACAAATTTACACACCTTTAGATCTCGAAAAACTAACTTGAAACATCTTCATTAGTGTTATCGACTTGGTCAGCAGCAACAACAATCTTCTCTCCCGACTCTGTATTTTTCTTCCTACCAATTTCACCGTATTTTGCAAATGCAGCTTTCAGTGCGGATTTTACACTTACTGGTTCCTCTTTTTTTCTTCGTTTGGTTTCATCTACAGTTTCCTTCTCCTCCTCGTTTTTCTCACTTTCAGGGGCAAGGTTGTCAATAGGATTTTCTGCAATAGGTGTGTGGTTCGGAACTACGCGCTTGAATGGCTCATGGAAAGTATCATACAACCGTTTTACCTGCCGTAATTTCAGAATTATGCAAGAATTAAAAGGTTGCAAAAGGCTATAAAAATTTATAGTTATTTTTTATTTCTTTTTTAAATCTTCGATTTAAATGAAGTGTAATATCCAGAAGCTAATCTCAAGAAAGTGTGAGAATAAAGACTTTGCAAAGTTCGCCTAATTTATGCGTACAGGATTATCTGCATCAAACAGAAATCCCATGAAATACACTTTGTAACGAACGGAAAAACATTGAAATTACCTTTCGTTCTCCTATGCCGGGGCAACGAGCAAGATCGTCCACCGACGCATCCATGATATTAGAAAGAGACTGTAATTGGTAGAATATTAGTTTAGTACACAAGCACCAAAATAACGGTACTCAAATTATATGACAAATATAAATCACGGGCTCACCCCAAATGTAGACCCAAGAGTAACAACATCTGTTTTGTTCACATGCCGCACCGATGTCAATGCGTTATTTAACTGTAACAGAAAAAAAAATTGAAATTTCGTTACATCATTATAGTGAGCTTTCCCAAAAATATTCACAAATAGTCGAGCAATACGATTCATACCCGTGATAGGTAATCCATGTCCATTTGTCCCTGAATAAGTTCAGCCGATTTATTTTCATACACTTTAATCGTCTCCAAGTATCGACCACATTCTTCCAAACTGAAAAAAAAAAAAAATGATAGCAATTAGATGACAGTAAAGAAAAGGACGAATGAAGCTTATCGTTTTAAGACACGCAGTAAGCAGAAAACAGTGAGAACCAATTTCATGCAGAATACTTTACGAGGTTGTGTTTTCTTTCACGTACAAAAAGAAAGCCATGCTAAATTAGTTACGTACATTTGCTTTCCACTCAGCGAACAAAACCAAGTCGTAAAATATACGATGATATAAAAGAGATATACCTCCAAGCACATAAGAGAGTGCAGTCATGGAGTAGAGCTGTTTTTGTGACTTCGAGTAAAGGCTTAACAACATCTTCCTGGTACACAACCATCAAGAAAATTAGAGAACCCGAAAAAAAAAAAAAAAATTAAGACGTAAAAAAAGTTGATTGGTCCAAAGGCTTACCACATCAACATGGCATAATACGACACGTAGCTTGAAGTTCTTCTGCAGTTCCCTTATTCGAAAATAAAGGTAATCTGGATGGAGAAGATGATAGCGAAGACTGAAAGAAACCAACAAGAAACTCTATTAAACAGAATTCAGTTAAACCTCTATAAATTAATACAGTCGGGACTAGAAATTCTATTAATTTAGCGAAATTATTAAATTATCGAGTTAGTAATTCAACACGTTTTCACCGAGTTGGAGCCGAGAGAAACTATTATTTAATCGAGGTTATTAATTTATCGAGGTTCTACTGTATTTTACATTATGGAACCACAACAGATATGTTTGATATTAATTAATTAAATACAGTTCAACATCAGACCTCAAATACAGCGCACAAGAATTCTGGCCCAACAAGTAGTCGCAGACAATATCCGCAAAAGCCCATCGCACATTCCTAATATGTTTCAGTAAAGGGTTCCCTTTCTGCAACTCGTCACAAACAAAAAAAAAACATAGTCATTTCATCCACTTTATAAACACCGAATTGCTTAAAAGTTCGGGGAATAGAAAGCAAGGCCAGTGATTTAAAATTTCAAGAAACAATTAAAAAGGTCGAAGGCAAACACGCCTTTGACACACAATAATTAGCAGCCACCAAGTTCTACTACATCCAGTAGTCGTATTACTGACGAGCTACATTGACAGTTTGAATTATCTAGCATTTTATAATAAAATGAAGCGTGGCTGTATTAGTTCACTTATGTACAGGACCAAGATCGTCGGAAAATAATTCACCTGTCTATTGCTAACAAGGATGGAGTTCCGATTCCCACCGGTTGATGAAACTAAAGTCGATGGAGCTTCGGATTGAACAAATTGCCTGAAACATTACAAATAATTGTCTTCAATCCCACACGAATAGCCCACATATAGATACTGATATACACATATATGTCACACGCATAGAGAGACAATCGAACCTTGAATCGGGCGTGTGAGAAGGTGAAGGGGAAACTTTTGATGGAGGTGGAGGGGTTGTGTAGAATTCGGTGTTCTTTACGAAATTGAAAGCCTGAGAAAACGAAGGGGATGGATTGAATATAGATTGTGCCTTTGGTTCGGAGCTCCCCACCACCTCTTCGTAAGATGGTATTCTTATGGCAAATGACGTATTCTTATTCTGCTGCTGGTTTTCAGGGTCGCCTCGGTTTTCCATTTTTTCTAAGTTTCCAATTAATTTGTAGAAAAGCAGATGTTCTTCTTGGGTTGCTGGAAGAGAAAATTACTGCAAAATTCACTGAACTGTCTGAACTTCACTTTTTTAATTGAAAAAAAACAATCGGGATTGTAACGAAAAGAGTGGGATGGGGAGAAAGTGTAGAATGAAGCGCTAATCCGTATAACATAAATAGTAATGAATAATGTGAAGTGTTATAATTTTGTGCAGCGTCTAAGAACTAAGTTCGGAAGGGGAAATTACGGCCTGAGAAAGCGTCGTGCAACAAAAAGTTCGATTTATGCAAAAAAAAAAAAAAAAAAAAAAAAAAAAAACAGACTGTGAAGCAGAAAACAGATATATCATGGCTCTATTTTGCTGGCATTTTCATAATTCCGAAATCATACTATATCTACAGTGAAATCAAAAAAATTGCAACACATAACAACAAATTATTGCAAGCAATTTAATAACAATAAATAATTGCAATTCTTAGAAATCATGAATATCAATTACGAAAACTAATTGGGGAAAACCTAAGCCCAAGCAGCAAGTTACAAAGAAATTAAAAAAATAATAACCATGGATGGGTTTCAGCAAATTCACTATATTCCACGAATTAGCAGCATATAAAATCTAATTTAAATGAAAAAGGGAAAAAAAATAGCACCTTGGATGAAGGCCGAGCAAGAATGGCAACGGCGACTTCCTTTCCGACGCCGTTGGAAGACGGTGGAGCAAATAAACTGACAGACTTCTTTTTTATTTTATTTATTTATTAGTTGATGGCGAAGATGGTTGATTACCCCCTTGAAACTAACAAGTTCCTCTTTTTTTTCCTTTTTTTTTTTTTTTTAATTTACAAGAGAATAAGCAGGCACTTAAATTTGGTTAATTTGTACCCTCAAATAACAGGTCTTGACATTTTGCACCCTTAAAATTGAAAAAATAGTAGAATGCCCCCTCGGATTACGATTTGCTACGCAAAGCGTACCCTACTTCACCTTTTGGCTAAAACGGTGATCGACTACCCGATTTATTAGTTATCATAGTTCCAGCACCGTTAGAAATGGAAGTATACGAGAGATTTCTTTGTGATATGGAAGTATTCAATAAATAATATAAAGGTAGATAGAGAAGAAGTTTATAACTCTCGTCCATTCATATTCGGTCTAAGTATGTTACTCTAGTGCTCTTTCCGATTCATATTAAGTATCACTTAGGTCATCTTTGTTTCCTCATGTTAAATGTCACTTTGGATCTAAATCTGGAAATTTTCTTAATATTGAAACCATGCGCTTTCAATAAATGTGTAAATTCAATCCTTAAGAAGGATTTTCCGCAAATTTAATAAATTTTATGGATCCACAAGTTCAATCTTTATCACCCCAAATTGGCACTTGATTTGAATAAATAAGTGATGTTTTATCACTCACTTTGGGTGTATCGGATGGGAACACGTGCACAGTAGGGGTAGGTGATATAGGTAAGGTTGAAGCCTCTTAGCGAGCAGTGGGATGGCTGTGCGTTAAACCTGCAAAATAACGACACGTGAACTAAGTCGGTGGTACCTCCAGCGGAAACCTCTCTGACGCTCAAGTCAGGTGTCTAGTCAAAACCAAAGACAGGTCACACGAATTCTAGAGAGCTCTAGTGAATAATCAAAGTGTACCTTTTAGAATGGGAAGGGGAGTCTATTTATAATTAGGTTGGTAGTAGAGTCAAAATTAAAGTCCAAATCTAATTTCTAGTTATGGTATAATTCTAATTAATGTTGAAGCTTGTTATGGGCTCAAAATCTTGGTCCTGACGGGCCGGGCTATTATTATAGTTCCCTCGTTATTCGGCCATGCCCTTGAGCCTTGGGGATTCAAGCCCAATGTAGAGTATCGAATTCACTAATTGGTTCGACCAATTTAGCAATATCAATAAGTATGACAATAACATATAAAATACAATTTTAATATATAATCTATTTACCGACTTCACAAAACACTTGGCAAGGAGTTGGAGGGAAGTTAAAAAAAAAATCTCTTAATCCAGTTTCATTATGGCTTTGTTTGATTTAAGTAAAATAAAAGTGTAATGATGAAAATTGCAAGTAAAATATTTTTGTTGTTTGGTTAAAAGGTCAAATAGTAGGATTCTGTCAAGATCATTGGACATACAAAAATAACACCAACACACACTTTTCGCAGCAGTTATCTCCCAAATAGTAATTTCAACAGAGCCATATATCTTCCTCGAAGATCTCCTCCGGCGGTCTAAAGGAGATAGTTCTTACCGGAAAATTGACCGCATGCAAATTTGCGCGATTAAGTGGCGTCGTCTGTGGGAAGGGAACCTGAGCAGGGCCGGTCCGGCGTAATAGGGGGCTCGGGGCGAGAATATAATTGTTCGATAGTTCGGGGGCAACGTCCGAATTTTTTTTTTCCCCACATCTTAAGCTTAATGAAATAATATGAATAAATTATTTATTAACAGAATTCTCATAAATAGAAGTCTGAAAATATTAATGTCTAGATAAAAACTTTTGTGTAAAGGTTAGAATAAAAAGAAAAAAACAATTGTAATCTATTTTTAAACTTATAAAAAAGAAGAAAAAAATAATAAAAGAGTAAAACAAAATTTTGAAAAAAATACAAGAATATTTTTTTTTAAAATAATAAAAAGAATTTACACATCAAAATATATAATGTATATATATTAAAATTTTCAAAATTTGGGCCCCTATAAATTTGGGCTCTGGGCGTGGGCCCTGCTCGCCCCACCCAGGATCGGCCCTGAATCTGAGCTTTAGACCTTGATTGAGAATCAAATAAGAAGGTGGTGGCGATTATGTTGGGAATCAGGCACATGTTTACGCAGAGGAAAACAAAAGTTTTATAAGAAAAATGAATTTAATCATATAAACACATACTCCATAATAGCAATTAATTGCGTACCTTAATGCTTCCAGCAAAAATTAAAAACAACATGCATATTATTAATTCGTTAATTAAATCACGTAGTATGCTCGCAGTACAATTACAGAACGACATTCATGAAAAACATACTGCAAATATCAACATTTAATTTAATCATTTTAAATTAACACCTAGTAAAAATTGGATCCGAAAATTACTTCTTGAAGCGTGAGGCGAACTTTCGGATTGATGCAAACTGCAACCAATCTATACAGTCAGGAGGAGCAGCAGCGACGGACGCGCGAGCAGCGGCGGCGCGTGTGAATCACACGCTGTCTTCGGACGGCGCGTGAGGGCGCGTGCGCCGGCGGTTCGGCGGGGGCTTCTCGGTGATCTGACTCATTTGTCTTCCTCCTCTCGGATTTCACCTCGTATACCGAGTTCAACTAGTACGTGGCACTAGACACACAAAAGTCAGATTAAACGGTAGAATAAAACAAAGAAAAAGAAGTACCGAGAACAAACGGCGCGAGGGCGCTGATTTCCGGCGACGGCGGCGGCGCGGTGGAGATGGCACCGGACTAGGTTATGAGCGTCTAGGGTTTTGTTGCTTGTGTACAAGAACTATAAATCTTGTATTTATAGTGTCTTATATATAAGCCCTAACGAGTTTAACTTGGATCGGGCCCAACAACTTAAGTTCGTTAGTTTTTCTTTGCTCGTTTCTCATAAACCAATGATTGGAAAATTATAACAATTATATTTTCTGAATCATTGAAACGTCCTCGTCATTACGAATGCCAAATCTCGATTTCAAATTTCTAAAACTAGAAACCATAATTCAGTGGACCTACTATATGTGGAAACTTCCCAATTTAGAAAGTTCACTAAGATGATTACCTAGTTCTTTCGTTTCCTTATTCTCATTCATAATTCCCAATTATGAATGTTGGACTCAATCGTATTGACATCTAATTATGCAAAGATTAAACATTTTTATCTTTGACCGTTTATTCAATGAACTCGAGTACATAAGCAGTGGGTGTTAATCCTAATGCTAATGATCCAGTACTGTTGTACTGCGATAACACCGGAGCCGTGACGCAAGCTAAGGAGCCGAGATCTCATCAGAAATCCAAGCATATTCTGAGAAAGTATCATGTGATCCGAGAGATCATTGATAGAGGTGAAGTCAAAGTAGAACGAGTCACATCGGAAGAGAACGTAGCAGACCCCTTCACGAAGCCTTTACCAAGGTCGGTCCACGAGAAACACCGAGAGTCGATGGGATTACGATTTATGGGTAGTTGGCTTTAGGTCAAGTGGGAGATTGTTAGGGTAGGTGACCAACAAGCCAACTTGTGGTTGTGGTCATTCAATTTATTCTTGTAATAAATAATTTTTTTTTGTATTCATGATAAAACACATTGGCATTCTATATATTTGTCCCTTGTACAAACATAGATATAGTCCTTACAGTTATTACAATTACTTGTAATTGATCTTTTAGGATCGTGAGATATTTACTTAAATATCATAACCGTTAAACCGTGTTCCTAGTCGAAGGGTTACGCTACCAATGAGGATATCGGCCTTTCCCATTAAGAGACTAGCACTTAATGTATGTGTATTGCGTCTCATCAGTAAACGATATTGTGATATCGGCATGCATAAGTGGGTGCTCGTAAGTTGACGAGTTCATTCAACTCCCTAATCCTAGAAATCTATAAGTGGTTCTCAATAATCGAGTAGAGATCTCTATGGTATAGTTTTACACCATTAGTCCTTAAGACCTAGACATCATTGTGACTTCACTAGAGGACTAGCTGTATTGTGAACTGTCTCTGAATTTCACCGAGGGCCGCCCCAAGGGCCAATGTTCATGTAGTCCAAAATCTAGTGGGAGGTTTGTGCGTTGTAGTCGGGGATTCGATTGCTAGAATAGTCTTGGATGTCTTGTGTGTTCTCATAGTTTGTAATCTTTAAGTCTCTGGCCAGAGCTGACTAAGTGATGATTAGGGAATTCGATTCTCTAAGTCATGCATGCACGTACCGATTACAACACTTAGAACGATCCCACAGTTATAATACTTAAGTAAATATCTCATGATCATAATAGATCAAATATAAGTAATTATAATACCTGTAAGGACTATATCCATGTTTATGCAAGGGACAAAGATATAGAATGCTAAGGTGTTTCATCATTAATACGAAATAGGATTATTTATTACAAGAATAATTAAAATGATAAAAACAAAAAAAAAATCTTCTCTTAAATTACCCCGATATTTCAGCCCCCAAGAAAACCCCCCTGGATCCGCCCCTATTACTAGAAAATTATGATTTGGCAACGGACGAATTCATTGCTAAGAAGTAAAAATCCGTCACTAATCAAGATTTAGTAACAGATAATGCTCATCTCCAACACCGTCGCTAAACGGCACGTCGCTAAATTTGGCGACGACGTGCGCAAATCCGTCGCTACATTTTAGCAATAGAGAAGCCGTTGCCGGATCCGTCGCTACTGTAGCAATAGAATGACTCGTCGCCAGATCCGTTAGTAATGTCGAAACCGAATGACCCATCGCCAAATTCGTCGCTACTTTAGATAGGTATTGAATCGTATCTAAATCCGTCGCAACAAATATTTTAACAATTAAAAAAATATATATATTTATTTTTATTTTGATACATATTTAATATATATTGTATACCAAAAATAACAATTATATATAAAAATTCAGCATACAATGTTACAAATTTGTTTTACAAAGTGTAGCACTATTGTTTTGAAATCAAGATTGAAACACTGTCAAAATTTAAAATACATCAATCATATTCTGTAAGTGCAACACACACCGTTTCTCCAGTCTCTCCAATCGACATATGCTTGTGGTTTACTTGTATCACGTAGATGACATCCT